GGCAGGCTTATTAAAATTGACATGTATTTATGTCGAATTTAAACTTGTTTTAGTCACGATATGGCTGAACTATTGCCGATATGACTGTCAATCTTAATTCACTCACCTATTCCGGAATTATCTTTCTTAGTGTAGACTTTTCTGGCATCATTTTGCTGAGTTTATAAGGGGAGTTCACTCTTTCCTCACATTACATCTCAAGTCACAAAAAGAATAGCATTTTACAATGTATGTGATCACTCCATACCTTGGGATGCCTCTTACCTGTCTAGACCTAATTTCGGAAGCTGGATTACTGTTATTAATATTACCATCACTGTCTTTATTGCTATAATCACTGCTCTTGTATTATATTACCGTTAAATGTGTATGCCACTGTGCTTTGTATTGCCACAGGGGCGATGGGGTAGCCTCGTGGTTAATGCGTTCGCTTGTCACGCCAAAGACCCGGGTTAATTTCCCAACATGGGGTGTAATACGTGAAGTCCATTTCTGGTATCCCTCGTCATGATATTGGTGGAATTTTCTAAAAGCTGCACAAAACTAAACTCACTTACTCATTGTACTGCCATAGTGATACCTTTGTGTAGATTTGTGAACTTTTATTTTTAGAATGCATGTATTCATTGCAAAATATAGTTTTGTTCAGTGAACTGATTCCCGCTTAGTTTTAGTTTTAATTTGGTTAATCAAAAACAACGGTTAACTACACTTCAAATTCACCCTCCCTCCCCACGCATAGAATGTGCCATTTAACTCAAGGTTGAGGGGAGAACAGATGCCTGTGTATATGTATGAAGTGGCCCAAGCACACAGTGAGTGAATGAGTGAGTTTAGTTTTACGACGCACTCAGCAATATTCCAGCTATATGGCGGCGGTTTGTAAATAATCGAGTCTGGACCAGACAATCCATTGATCAACAGCATGAGCATCGATCTGCGCAATTGGGAACCGATGACATGTGTCAACCAAGTCAGCGAGCCTGACCACCCGATCCCGTTTGTCGCCTTTTACGACAAGCATAGTCGCCTCTTATGACAAGAATGGGTTGCTGAAGACCTATTCTACCCCGTATCTTCACGGGTCCCAAGCACACAGTTGCTGGTGTTGACTGGAGTGAGTGAGGAAGCTTTTACGCTGCTTTCAGCAATATTGCAGCAATATCATGGCGTGTCTTCAGCGTGACAAGTTAACCAAGAAGCTACCAACCGCCCAGCTATGTTAATTAGAGGAGTAATATCACAAGGGGGGGGGGACCACTTCATTTCGTGATAAGTGCAGCTCATAACATTGTCTCGTCGTGAGGATCTTCTCTGACAAGCAACTGCCGTGGATCTCTGTTGCTTTCCTGGATTACATCTAGGTGAAGCCGCCTCTGCTGTGACAGGAGCTCACCTGGATGTAAAAACCATCATACAGAAGGTGCCACACGATATTCTGTGGACCATGTGCTCCATTTAAACATTTATTGAACCTTCGTTGACGGCGTAGACTTCTCTCTCTTTCAGCAATAAATTGCAACGATCTTTTTTTTTGTTGACTTGCGTGTTAAGCAGTGTAATTCCTTCATTGTTTACATTGACCTTATTTTATTAAATCGCGATCATGATCTTTATAATTACCTGGAATGGTACATTCTTGTACTTATTGTACTCCTTGACAGAATAGCATGGTGCACGTATAAACGTAACGGGACGGCCTTGCTTAAGGCACGTCTCCTCATATCCTAGAAAGTACTTACTATTTCTGAAGCGCATATGCCAGTCGTTTTGGTCCGCCGAATTATCTTTCTGTGATATCACAGGCACCGGTCCAAACTTTTATAGCAGCATATTTGCCATGCTTATGTATGAGCTGTGGTAGCTGCCTTCTTAGAAACCCATGAAGATCCGGGTTAGCCTCGGTCTTCAGCAAACCCAGTTTGTCGTAAGAGGCGACTAACGGGATCGGGACTAACGGGAAATGTAGCTATTTCGTTATCAGTGTGCAATACGGCCTCCCGTGGAGAACCGCTACCAACTGTAGGACCTGGAGGGAAATGTAGCCTTTTCTTTATCAGTGTGTGAAATATGGCGTCCTGTGAAGAACCACTATCAAATGTAGGACCTGGAGGGAAATATATTTTCTAATATACTGAACATCATTGAAAACGCACCAGTCAAAAATTGTCCATATTTTCATCAAGATGGATTTCAGCATGACAATGATCAATGACTATAACTAACATGAAGTCGAAGGGCATGTCCAGTTGAAAAAATGCTCTAGAAATAAATTCCTGTCCACAGTATGACTCTTAATTCCAAAATTCATCAACATGCAGCCACACCATGAGAAAAGCGCGAATTTCATTCTGAAATCATACTGACTGTGACATTAAAAGCAGGTGTATGAGAACCGATTCTCATTGCTTCACTAACGATTGTGAAACGAGGACAGAGATGCCGAGGTTAACACCTCACGAAAGAGAACGTGCACTAGGCATGATTCAGGTTGGCACCAGCAGCAGGGATATTGCTCGACAACTTGGACTTGGCCACTCCACCATCGTTAGGCTTCATTGACTACATCAGTAGCAGGCAGCACCCCTGACCTTCAATGACCTTGGCAACAAGGTGTTACGACGCTCCATCAGGATCGCCATATTGACCTTGTCCATATCAGTGATTGAACACTACTTTTAATAATCTGAACTATTATAAGTGGTGCGTTTTCAATGATGTTCAGTATATATCGTGTTCCCACAATGTGTATAATTTCATTTTTATTGGAATATAGAATGTGGAGACCCTGTAGAGAATTGGTGTTCAGCAAACCATGTTTGTTGTAAGAGGCGTGATATACAGATCAACATACATTGTTGCCTGAAATGGAGTTTTAATGTATACTAGGCACATAAAGAAACTGTGCATGCAAAAATTTATAATGTAAATTTATCAAACCTGTGTAGACACATAAGGATTCAAACTCAGAGATTAGTGACATGTATCCAACATACATGCACGTGCCACGTTCCGTGACGTCAGTGGGTTCGTCCTTGAGACGTGCAATACGTTGTTGCACGTGCATTCCAGGAAAGAGAAAAAGAGCAAATGAATGCCACACAATACTGTCACTTTGGAAAGCTCAACCCATACCCTTGCGATCGTTCAAAAAAATTCAACGGCTATTGAAACGCATAGTATGCCAAGGCTCACGTCTGCACAACGTCATGAGGCCATTGGGATGGTCCGTGGTGGAATGTCTCAACGACAAGTGGTTGCACATGTCCATTGCCACAAGAACGCCATTTCTGCATTGGTGAGACGCTACCAGGTGACCCATCTTCGGCACAGGTTTCAGACTGCAGTGATGACTGCCCGAACCATCCTAGGACTTCGCCGTATCCACCCCAACACAGTTCGACAACGTTTACGTCATCACGTGATCAGACCACGACGTCCCGCCATACGGCCTATCCTGACACAACGTCATCGACAAGCTCGCCGAATGGGGTGCCGAAATCATGTCCACGGACCCTTGTTTTGGTGGAGAAATGTTGTTTTTACAGATGAGTCCAGGTTTAACATTTCCCATAGTGATGGACGTCAACGTGCTTATAGACCTGGGGAGAACGTTATGCACAGGCCTGTGTCTTGAAGAGGAATCGCTTTGGTGGTGGTTCCGTGATTATTTGGGGTGGAATAACAGGACGCCAAAAAACTCCTTTGGTGATTGTTCGGGGCAACTTAACTGGTGTGGGCTACAGGGATCAGATTCTTCGACCTGTGGCAATTAATATTCTGCAACGTTATTCCAACAGGACAATGCCCGCCCTCATACGGCAAGGGTTGCTATGGATTTCTTGCAACACCACAACGTTGACTTACTGCTTTGGCCTGCAAATTCACCGGATCTCTCCCCGATGGAGCATGTTTGGGACGAGATGGATACACGTCTACGCCGTCTTTCTCATCCGCCAGATAACGTCCTTGACCTTGCAACGGAACTTGAGAGAATCTGGCGTGACATCCCACAAGCCTTCCTTGCACGTTTGATAGGCTCTATGCGTCGTTGATGCACTGCTGTTCTCAATGCCGATGGTGAACATACCCGTTATTGATCTTGTGACATGGTCGTTTGACCCCTGTCCCGCTCGTGACGTCATTGTGATTGACTTTTCAATTGAAATTCTCCCGACTTGTTATGGTCTCATGATCCCTCCATTAAAGTTTATATGTACCTTTGACATTGTTATCGTACTTATCAACTGGGATACTATTTTGACAATGCACAGTTACTTTATGTGGCTAGTATATTTGAAATGAAGCTTGATACAGACGTTCTGTGTGTTCAGTAAAAAGGTATGGGCGTGAGTTTAGTTTTACGCTAGAGACAAGATCACTGAGTTCAGATGCATGGGGCATGGCGCGTCAACATGGAGTCGCTTTGAAACCGAGACACATCTGATTAACTATCACTGGAATAGAAATTAATTTATTCACATGAAACTCGTTTGAATTTTTTTACTTGTTTTACAGTAAACACTTTGCGCATTTGACTGAAAATAACATCTTTTCTGTATGCCAGACCCATTTTAGTGTTATTTATGGCTGTCTATGTATTGGCAGAAGACATGAGTTATTTTCTTAGTGAGTGAGTAAGTGAGTGTGTGACCAGATTGTGGAGTGAGAAAGTGAATGGCTAAGAGAGTGTTTGTTTTGTTTGTTGTTTAGCAAAACTCCAGCTACTAGTATATGGCGGCGGTCTGCAAATAGTCGAGTTTGGACCAGACAATGCAGTGATCAACAGCATGAGCATCGATCTGCGCAATTGGGAACCGATGACACGTGTCAACCAAATCAGCGAGCCTCACAACCCGATTCCGTTAGTCGCCTTTTACGACAAGCATGGGTTACTGAAGATCAATATTCTAACCCGGACCTTCACGGGCAGAAAAGGTATGGGACGTGCTGGCAGCGAGCACACGGGATGTAATGCAAAAAGCAGGAAGAATCGTAGAACACTATAAATCTGCTTTATTAAATCTAGAGACAAAAATCGTCAAATATATGTCAGTTTTATTTCAGTGTAAACATGGATAGGACAGACGGTTAATAATAATGATAATAATACTTTATTGCCCGACAAAGGAATTCCTTTTACAACAGTGAGACATACAGCATGGTTAAAACAAATTAAGCAAAGGACAACGATCACCTTAAACACACAAATAAACAGGATGAGAAGGATAACCAGTGTATACTGTAAGAGACTAGTAGTCAAATACATTTAAAATTGTGGCTGGGTCTAACATTCATTTAAAAGTCTAATTCTAACAGGTATAAAAGATGTTTGGGATCTTTTTGTGCGAACTTTAGGTACGAGGAATCTACGTCCAGATGGTAAAAGTATAAAACCAGAATGTAAATCGTGAGACGGGTCGGATAAAATTTTGTTCGCAGACATTAAAACACGATTCTCATACATATAACAAAGGGGGTTAAAATTCATGCCGACAATTTTTGAACAGATGGTTACAACTTTTTGCAGTTTGTTTTTGTTTTGGAGAGAAAGGGCACCGAACCAAAATTGAACAGAGAACAGTAAAATAGATTGGATACAGCAGTTATAGAAAACATTCAAAATGGTATTGTCAATGTTAAAAGATCCTAATTTTGTTGACGATGAACTGAGTGGTATAATGCAATTATCTGTGAAGAACATCTGCATGTCGAGTCCGAAATTCGCCCGGAACATAGACTGTTATCACCTTACCGATGCTGGTTTCACAGTTACTTTCTCTCCATTACTATGGTGACTCTGCGACGTCATGAACAACACTTATATTTCGATAGTTAAATTTTGAAAACATTTAAAAGTAACAACAACAGCATGTCTGAACGATCTATGCAGTCAGATACGAAGCTGCCTCGAGTGTCAGGTTGAAGGTCAAGGTCTGATGTATTTCACTTCCTGTATGGAGATATCGTTGTTGATGATCAGCCGATCTGGGTTTATGTCGGGGAAGTTGTCAGGCTGCTCGCAGACGAAGTTCCCGTCGAGGCTCACCTGAAATGACGACATACGTCTTTGCACACGGATAACTTCTGTAGTGGCTTTGAAGTTAATGTAATGGTACTGTGTAATAATAAGAAGTAGTAGAAGTGCCAGAATATAACTGTATATATAAAGTATCAGGACCCGTCAAGATCCGGGTTAGAATTGATCTTCAGTAACCTATGCTTGTCCTAACGGGATTGGGTGGTCAGGCTCGCTGACTTGGTTGACACATGTCCAAGTGCGTAGATCGATGCGCATGTTGTTGATCACTGGTAAAGTTACTAGCGTTACGTATTTGAATACGCAATCCTGTGATTAAAACGATTTTTGAAACTCAAACATATGTCTTACATCTTATAGATAGACGAAAAATTATCCGAAATACGTATTTTAACATGCATGTCATCTTAATACTGTCCTAATTGCGTAGATCGATGCGCATGCTATTGATCACTGGATTGTCTGGTTCTGACTCGATTATTTACAGACCGTCGCGTTATAGGTGAAATACTGCTGAGTGCGGAGTTAAATAACAAACAAACAGACGTACAAGCATCTCGAAACAAAACAAATCATGGAAGTTTTCAATTAGAATTATAGTAAAGAAGGATTATATACTGTCCCAAAAGAGAAACGCATATGCGTTTTGTATTTTTAAAAATCTATTAATTACCTATTGTGTTCAAACAATCGCAAAATATGTAACAAAAGTCGACTTTACCTGAAAATGTTGATTTTGATGAGATTTCTTACAAGGATTAAAAACGCATCGCCACAGCGCAACAAAAATCACCTTCCAGTTGAAATTTTGCAGCAAAGAGCATACACTGTCTGGCTATAAATATCCAGATTACTTTCGGAAATCGGCATTCGTTTTGAAGGCGTTTCAAGGTCAAATCCCTACGCCACGTCTTGACACTGGGACAAGGAACATCGCCATTGAAAGAATGCACGATGTAAATTACCAATCATCTGTTGCCAGGCGTTTGAATGTTAGTCTGAGCACGATATCACGGCTTGCAGCTCGCTACAGCCAAACAGGTATCACAAATGACCGTTCCCGTACAGGCAGACCTCGAGTCACCACTGCAGCCCAAGATCGGTACATCCGGGTACTACATTTGCGTGATCGTACTGTCACGGGTGAGAGCTCAGCAGCCAGGGTGTCTGGCCTTTAGAGGATATCCGGTCAAACTGTACGGAACAGGTTGAGGGAGATTGGACTGAGAGCCAGGATTCCCGACGTCGGGACCGTGCTATGTCGTCACCTTCACGCTCAACGGCTCTCTTTATCTAAAATTAACCACTTGGTTGTATAGGCATTTTCTTCTTCTAAACTGATGTCAAAATTCATGCACTTAAGTCTATTTGTGGACGAGTTATACATGTTTGAAAATACAACATTTTCGAAACAGATTTTTGGCCTATGCGTTTCTTTTTTGGATAGTATATTACTTCATGGGATATTTAATGGATCCTTTCCTCTCTGAACGCCATTGCACTTCCACATAATAAAGTGTACTATAGAAAGTATAGTTAAAAGTTGGAGCCGAATCGTTTCAGAAAAATTATATACGATTGCAAACATCAAAACGTCCGAAAGGAAGTGGTAAAGAAATGAGCCGGGTCGTTTTAGCAAACAATTTCTGAATTAGTCAAGAACGAACGCGTTGTTCATTTAAAGTGGACTGTCCATTTGCTCTCGTGAATAGCTTGACGTGACTTTCTAGTGTGAAATATTTATACTCCACTGTGACGATAGACAAAGGGAAAACACATTTCTGAACAAGAAAATGTCCAGATAAAACTCAACACTAAGTACATAAACAGCTATTGCCCACTACCTCACCCAGATGGTTTGTTTGTTTGTTTGACACTGCACTCTGCAATATTTCAGCTATAGAATGGCGGTGTGTATATGATCAACACCAGGCAATTGACATCTAAAGCATCTACGCAACCTAATACGATACCATGCCTCAGCCATGTCTGATCAACCCGATCCCTTCAGTTGCCCCTCACGACAAGCAAGAGTGGAATGAGTGAGCATGGGTTTAGTAATATTCCAGCAACATCACGGCCGGGGAAACCAGAAATGGGTTTCACAGTGTACCCATGTGGAGAATCGAACAGGGATCTTCGGCGTGAAAACCAAACGCATTAGCCACTTGGCTAACCCATTGTTTCTCGGCAAGCAAGAGTTCCTGAAGGTCAGGATCAGAGGGGTCACATGGCCCGGATGGTATGTCTGAACAATGGTGTCAGAAAAGTGAAGGAAATGTTCTCCGACCTTGTATGTTTGGATGTCCCGCGCTATCTCAGCCCGGAATGCAGTTCCGACGGCAAAGGGGAAGGTTTGGACCTTCTGGCCGGACAGGTAGATGTTGTGCTGCTTGGAGGAGTTGTTGAAGCGCACGTCCATGTTCAGTATCACCGAGTTGTCGGATAACAGCACCATTTCAAATCTAGAGCAATAAGAGGACAAGTTAGAATTTAACGTCGCGTCTGCGTTTGCAGTAGTAGGAGTAGCAGTAGAAGTGGTTGTTGTAGTGGTAGCAGTAGCAGCAGCAGTAATAGCAGGCAGCAGTAGTAGTAGTAGTAGTAGCAGCAGCAGTAGTAGTAGTAGTAATAGTAGCAGTTGTAGTACATTAACAGCAATGTTTATGAACAAACTTGAAAAAGGCAACCCCCCAAATGTTACTGCTCATTGTATGCTCTTTTGTTATTCTTCTAGTAATAACGAATGATCCATGGGTACAAAGTAATTATCTAATGCCTGGAATATTGCTCAATCCCGTTACAAGTGGCACTAGTAAAGCAATCTCGGAGTAAGGAAATGCCTAATGTTCTGAAAAAGCAAACTTTAGAATGCGTTCTGAAAATGCAAACTTTAGAACGTTTTGATGAAATATAGGCACGCCACGCCACGCCACGCCACGCCACGTTAAAATGGTGGACCATCTGAATCCAGTACTGCTATGCGTCAACTCAACGTCCCTTTGACCGCCATTTGGCGACGTCATCGTCATCTCCATCTGTGGCCACCCACCCCAGATATATTGTCTACGTTGGTGTGAATGTTCTGTTACTCCGCACAAACAATATTCAAATGATATTTAAGTGAGTGAATATTTGAAGTTAAATGATATTTCAACGATGATAGACATCCGACTTCATCAAAGAACAGGGGACCCACTCTCACCCGGAATCTGAACAGCGGTGGCGTAGTAGCCGCTGTAGTGGTTGCTATGGCGATCGGAGTGATAGGCACATGCTTCAGTCATGCCATGCTTGAGGAATGTACAGGAACGTTTGAGTTAGTGAGTGAGTGAGTTAATAACGCCGTTCTAACAGTATTTCATTTATATGAAAGCATGCCACGTTTAATAAGTTTTTGAAACTCTTGAGCATATGTTCCTTTTCATAAACCTAAGGTACGTAAGCCCAAAACTTTCAAAGTAAAATATAAATTTACCCCATTTTCACCGTAGTATTTTAGTTATTTAAACTGTTGGCTAAATTTTCCTACAATCGCCAGCGGCTGAAGGGATGGTGTAAATCCAGCTAGGGTCCATGCAGTTAGCAAAAGTAATGTAAGTCCCTATGATTCCTAGCATGGTGATCTACCTTCAGTTGTTGGCGATCTATAGCCCGTGTTTCATACTGTATTGTCTTCTTTAATTGGAATGTTTTAGCTTTGCTCGCTAGTTTTATATTCATATCTGTGATTCTCTAGTATTTTTACTGTCCATCGTCGACAGGTTTTAATCTTCCAAATGTTTTCACTTTTTATTGTATAAATTGTTTTCGTCACGATATGGCTTGGATATTGCCGATGCGACGTTAAATATTAACTCACTCACTCATAAACCTAAATACACAATATGACCCGTAAGTAGGTCTGGTACTCCGCAAACTTCGCGAGACCTTAATACTTCCGGTGACAAACAACTTTTCATACCTTTTCGAACTGTCTCATGGTTGTCAGTTGACAGTGAGGATCCGATAATCCTTGCAAGAACAACAAATTTTCGATGTAACCATCCCCAAATTAACCAACTATTACGACTGTCAACAGCTGTAACAGCCAAGCGTGGTTGTATTCTTGGTCCGGTCTAGTAAAGTCGTATTTGGCGGCCGTGCAATTTGGAACGAGAACTGGTTCTTGAATGTATGTTTGTCACCGGAAATCTGGTCCCCGTCTCGCATATCGTAAGTTGGAGCGCGTAATAGGAGTCGGGGACCAGAAGTGGCGCCTTGCGAGACTACAAAGACAACAGGTTCTGGGCATGGCAAGTTACGGCGGGTTCGACGGCTCAGCCACACGTACAGTCATGACTTTAGTGTCAACAATAATACTTTTAAGTTATGCCATATTTGAAGAGAGTATTGCAAAATTTAATAAATGAATTTAATAAGATAATAAAATGATCTCATGTGACTGACCGTGTGCTGGCAGTGGGCGTGGCGATGATCTCAACCCGGGACCCCACGGTCATACCACAGGGGATAGCCGCCTCGAAGTTGACCGACTGCAAGTTAAAGGACTATAGACGTTAGTGACGTATCAGAAACATCTATAGAAACAACCACTGTATCTCAACGTCACGTGTATCAAAACGCCACTGAACCACTGATAGTCTACATCGGTATATTAAGTTATTTTTCCCAAAGGGAGATAATACTGCATATCAAATTATGAGCCGTGTATCACTACGTCACTGAACCACTGATAGTCTACATCTGAATATAAAATTGTGTTTCCCTAAGGGAGATAAATATGCGTATCAAACTGATGGGCGGTGCATTACTACGCCACGTCAACATCTGCATCGCATAACATCAAGCATAACTTACAGGGTTTATCCACAGAGCCCTGTTACACTGGCCGTTCAGTCCATTCCACTCGCCCGTGCTGGAACAACGGTGTTTGGAACTCCTCCCACAGAACAGGAAGCCAGGCCTACAGGTGTAGGTGGCTCTTGCTCCGACAAACTGTCCTTCAGAGGTCAAATCAGCGTTAGGCAAGGATGGAGGATTGTTGCATACCTGTAGCTCTGTAATAAAGGGAAATATGGGTGAAATCCGGCTTTTGCACGTATACACATCCTGATGAAAGAATTTGTGGTTTCTGTGTTTGTGTTTTTGTTTTCTGTCCTGTATTAATAGAGTTACTGCGGTAATTGACAGTGATTGACATTATGAACCGTGAATCATGCCAAATACCATTGTCGTAAAAAACGACAAACGGAATCAGGTGGTCAGGCTCGCTGACCTGGCTGACACATATCACCGTATCATCATTTCGTAAATGGATGCTCAGGATGTTGATCACTGGATTTCCTGGGCCCAAAAGCGATCGTAACCCTGAGATGATCGTAACTACCATACTTTAACATACAGTGGTAACATACGACAGTGGTAGCGCTACGATCGCTTTGAGGAAAGAGGCCCTGGGGCTCCTTTCACGAAGCACTAAGGTGATCGTAAGTCACCAAGGTAACCTTAGTGCAAAGTTAAAGAATGGGAGTTAAGGTTAACGTTAGTAAAGGTTGCTTCGTGAAAGGAGCCCCAGGTCCAGACTCGATTATTTACAAACCGTCGTCATATAGCTGAGTGAGTGAGTGAGTGAGTTTAGTTTTACGCCGATTTTAGCAATATTCCAGCAATATCACGGCGGGGGACACCAGAAATGAGCTTCACACAATGTACCCATGTGGGGATTCGAACCCGGGTCTTCGACGTGACGAGCGAACGCTTTAACCACTAGGCTAGCCCACCGCCCCGTCATATAGCTGAAGTATTGCTGAGTGCGGCGTTAAACAACAACCAAACATAAGCTAAATATCGCACATCGTCCAAATCCCCGAGCGTGATTCATTTTGTTACCTCTCACGTCAAGCACATTAGACAGATGACTGTACTATATTCAGTTCACAAACAAAATATCTTCGTTAATCCGGAGATTTCATTGTATTTATATTGTCAGTGCAACTCATGTAAAATTCCACAGACCATGGGCATGAAAGTGAGTGAAACTGATGAATAATCGAGTGGAATTTTATTAAATATTCGTGATCGAATCTGGATAAGGCAAACGGAAGATTGAGAACACGAGCAACGATCAAATTAAACCTCAGTGCTATCACACCATACAACTCACTGCAGCGGTACTAACATCCTGCCATAAGGCAAAGATTGAATGTTTAGGGACAACAACTAAAATATACAGCATCAACGCTGGACAATAAACAGTCTCGATTATCCTACAAAACAGTGAGTGAGCGAGTGAGTTTAGTTTTACGCCGCACACAGCAATATTCCAGCTCTATGGCGGAGGTCTGTAAATAATCGAGTCTTGACCATACAATCCAATTGGGAACCGATGACATGTGTCAACCAAGTCAGCGAGCCTGACCACCCTATCCTTTCAGCCGCCTCTTACGACAAGCATGGGTTACTGAAGATCAATATTCTAACCCGGACCTTCACGGGTACTTTCAAAACCGACATCATTGCATGAGCGTTAAATCAAATAGCGGTGACAAAAATATGAATGGATGACTGAAATCAGTGATGACACCAGGTGTTCGAGAAAGGAGTCAGTATGGCCTACTGTACAGGTGGAAAGGAGGACCTCTACAAAGCCTTAATCTTGGAATATATATATATATATGTCTAATGGAAGCAAATAATTCCTTTCAAACTTTCAAAGGAACCCCTGTGAGAAGGGAGATTCAAAACCTGGGGAAATCTTGAGCTTTAGTGCACGAAGGGAAGGACGGTTGGGGAAATAAGAGACGGAACATGGTATCCTTTGAGACTGATGATCACCTTGGAATAGCCAAACACATCAACACAGATCCTTCACAATGAATCGTGTTGATGATTACTTCTAAATATCAAATATTGCAACAGCTCTAAAACCAACAGTCACATATATGATAAAATCAATGTAAAATTAATTAACAAATGTCATTACGTTATTGGTCAAATGTATATTTTAGATGTTTTCTATATAAAATTTGTCATATCGCAAGGTGACTGCTAAAGTTGGCGTGTGCTCACTAATGTAGGTGACACTAACATATACTATCATGTCAGTTGACCTACATTACACCAGGTTGTAATGATGTCTGGAATACCGACCACCTGGACAGGTTGGTATCTGTGACCTGGCCTTCAGGAGACTTGATCCGAGTTGCCCTCTACGTAGAATGTCTAGCAAAATATCTCCACCTCACATGGCGGTACGGGGCTGGAAGTCATCCCCATTAAGATATACCTGGCATGGGTGGTTGATTAAATATATGAGATGGGCGGGCCGTCAGGTGACCGTATCCCCTTGCTCATAATATATATCACTGGATTGTCAGGTGTAGACGCAATTAATGAGATATCATCACATATAAACAACTTTTTGTATTGCTTTGAAATAACTGGAATAGTCCTGAATGTGTCATTCAACAACAAGCAAACATTTACATTGTCGAAATAACTAAACTTGAACAAACATATTGACAGTCGATGAAATTCGTATATCAGGCGTGAAAACTATATACTAGTGAAGGTGTCCTCCCATTTGTGAGAACTCCCAGTTGTGAGACACATTAATTAATGGATCAGTGCACACGGGTGGTGCTTCCCCATCCCTATGATGAAAGTGGGAACAGCCCTGTTGCTGAAGAGTACCCGCAGGAGGCATAGTTCATTAATGAGTTAATTAACACAGAAGACATTGTTCGTTGCAGAGCATTTATTGTTTTCAATAGATACTGAAATACTGAAAAAAGATTATCGTGAACTGGTGATATATTCTACTTGTTGAAGACCTGCCATAATGGTGATCGGAAAGAGCAGTCAAAGGTTACTAAATACATTTTGATTAGTTACAACAGTTATTGCTAGATTTTTCAAACATGTGAATCTGAGTAGGTAAATTAATTTCTCTTTCAAATGATCACGAAGTTACCTACACAAAGTGTTTATTTTTTAAAGCCATTTATCTGAGTAGGTTAATTACTTTATCTTTTAGAGTTTCATTAAGTTACCTCCACAAAATTCAGTTAAATAGCTAATCCATAATTAGCTGGGGTTAATCCATTCTATCAGATAGGGGAGTAAGGTGTGTTTTCTTTGCTAATTACCTACTCCACTGTCTCGCAACTCCCCGCCGTGATATTGCTGGAATATTGCTAAAAGCGGCGTAAAACTAAACTCAGTCAGTCAGTCTCGCAACTGGGAGTCTCACAACTGGGAGTTCTCACAAATGGGAGTAGGCCCTAGTGAATGTCCATATAGAAGTATATATAGGCACATCTAATTACTGCATGTTCTGACGTAATGTGTCAGAACAACCAACACAATGACTTCAGCTGACGTGATGTGTACACTGCCATTAAATTGCATACTCAGTAAGACGAGAATCGTTCTACGGGTACCAATTATAATGCGTTAGGCTGTATTCAGTCCGTTTTGTTCAACTGATACAGAACATAATCATAAACCATTTCGTTGTAACATATGTTATATTTTGGATTACACCACCTTCTTAGTAAAGTACAGATTCTAGTAATTTAAAAAAATATATATATAATTTTTTGGGGGGGCGGGGGTGGGCTGGGTGGGTTGAGTCATATTCGGGATTCGAATTCTCACCCTCAGAGTCAGGCACCTAATCGACAGCACGCAAAGCAAGCCGCCTAACCCGCTCAGGCACCGCGACTTACATTTGACACTTTCTAAAATGGCATTGTGTAATCATAGCTAAACAGACCATTTGGCAACTTCGGATTCTAGTAGTTCTTTATGATTTATTCGCCGGGTAATAAACAGTTCCTCAGTATTCTCAATTTAGTTTTTAAAATCGTTAATGGAATGTCTAATGGCCTTAAGGTCAACTGACTTATCCAAATTTCGGTAAGTGGTAAGTTCGAAAGTTATTCACGTAGCTACTGATTCTTGATAGAAATTTAAAAAGCCGGTCATAAACCTGAGCGATTCTAAGACTAAGCCCACCATAAAGATAGATAATATCTAACGAACACGTCACAATTCTATTCTGGAAACCCATTTGTCCAGAACATCTCCGCACTATTGCCAGTTTCTGACAAAGGATTTGACAAAATTCAACATGCTGTTGTCATGAATGTGTCAAGGGTGAGAAAATGACGCCTAAAAATAGGGAGATATTGGTTTAAACATATTTATTTCCAAAAGAGGAACCGGATTGGTAAACAAGCAGTATGGTGCTTATCTGAATACCGCTCCGGAATACAGATAAATTATAGATATAATAATCGTGCGGAGAAAAGCATGATATTAACAAACGATAAACAATAGCTTTCTGGAAATGTAACAATCATAAACTGTAATATAGCCGCTTTTAACGTTAGAACCATTAGTGTCGGAAAATACTTAATAGTAAGTGCAATTTCGTTTTTACTATTACAACACAAATCTGCCTGACAGTACAATGAAAGAATGGATAGATTCTAATAATTCAAGATTACCTTTAGTAGATCCATTAGAGTGGCCGTATAGTATTGATTTGATGTCATATCCTTTAGTATAGAAGTGCATTTTATGTCTTATGTCAGTGTAATTAACGCACGAAAAGAAATAGTGAATTGGATCTTCGTAACAATAGCCACAAGAACAAGAGGGATTTGAAGATATAAATTGTTGATATTAAATGTGCGTTTTGTGAATCTTGTTCCAATCTTGTTAATTTTGACTATTATTATTTGACCCATTAATCTGTTTCTTAAAACTACCCAAAGTAGCCGTTTCTCTATAATTGGTAGACAAACAATTCCACAATCTTACTGTATCTGGGAGAAATGAGCATAATTTGCACTTATACTATCGATAATTTGGAGCTTTAAATGGTCTCGGAAAATGTAGCTTGTAGTATCAGATACCTTAGGAGGGACGAGATCGCTCAGATATTTTGGAGTTAAATTATGAACCATCTTATAGAAAAACGTTAGTTTTTGTATGTATCTTTGAGTACATAGTGGTTGGAAATTTGTCTCATCATCAATTTTGTTGTGACGCGTGCCGCGAACAGCACCGCAAATAGTTCTACGTGCATCAAGATTAACAATTGTCCCAGATGTGACAACAATAGTCGAAAATAGGTAAGATAAATTGTTTGTACATTGTTTGTAAAGTTCTACGTGAGAGACGATATTTAAAACCTCTAAGACAGTTTACCATGGGTGCAACCTTTTTAGCGATACAGTTAACATGGTCAGTCCAGGAACAATCGTGCTGTAAAGTATGCCCAAATGTTTATGGCTATTAACGTCATTAATATAACTATCCTTCATTGTTAAGTTTCGTTTTGGGATGGGCTGTACTTTACGAGAGAATTGTATAGAATCTGTTTTATTAGGATTCTGTAAGAGACAGAGCAAAGGTTTCATCAGGACCATTTATTATAGCATAAAGTGATGTGTCATCTGCGAAGAGACGGATATTGCTGTTTATTCCTTCAACGATGTCGTTGATATAAACTATAAACAATAATGGTCCTAAGACAGAGCCTTGGGGAACCCCGGCTAAGATTGATCAGACGCGTAACCATTAATAACAACTCGCTGAACTCTATTGTCTAGATAACTCTCAAACCATTTCAACAAGTTACCCCCGATACCATAACGTCTTAGCTTATGTATAATACCTTTATGCCAGACCTTGTCAAAAGCCTTACTTACGTCACAAAATACAGCCCTAATTTCCTTACCGCTATCTAATGCACCCGCTATTAGTCATACAGGTACGTTAGTTGACTAACTGTTGAATCGCCTGGCATGAAACCGGATTGTAAGTTTGTAAGCATTTCATTATCCCTAAAATGACTAAATACATGTTTAAAAATGCATTTTTCGAAACTCTTTGCTTCACAGCTTAGTATTACTTTTGAATATCCCGTATAAAACTCTAATTTTACGTGAATAAATACTGTGAATGCGTGAGTGAATGAGCATCTGCTTTACGCTTTACGGTAATTTGACATATGTCAGGTCATTTCAGATGATAACCGGGACGGTGGTGTAGTCAAGTGGTTAGAGTGTGGCATTAAAAAACAAAGACAAAGTTGTTGAATGTGGTGTTCAACAACAGGGACAAATAACAAGTTTGAAGAGTGTGGCATTAAACAACAAAGCCAAAGTTTGTTGAGTGTGACTATGACGTTAAACAACAAAGCCAAAGTTTGTTGAGTGTGACTATGACGTTAAACAACAAAGCCAAAGTTTGTTGAGTGTGACTATGACGTTAAACAACAAAGCCAAAGTTTGTTGAGTGTGACTATGACGTTAAACATCAAAGACAAAGTTGTTGAGCGTGGTGTTCAGCAACAGGGACAAACAACAAGTTTGAAGAGTGTAGCTTTAAAAAGCAAAGACAGAAGTTTGTTGAGTGTGACTATGACGTTAAACAACAAAGACAGAAGTTTGTTGAGTGTGACTATGACGTTAAACAACAAAGACAGAAGTTTGTTGAGTGTGGCGTTATATGATAATGACAAAGTTTGTTGATTGTGGCGTTATTACATCAAAGAAACAAGTTACCTGGAAAGCACCTTCCCAACAGAGCGGCTGACGCATCGTCCTGTGTAGCCGTGCACTGGCTATTGTCATCTGGACTTGCTCCATCGAAACTAAATGTCAGAGAGTCTAACTCCACTCCATACAGGTCAGCGTGCTCTGCCGTCACTGTCAACGAATAATTTCCTGCAGCAAGCCTCTTTTCAACTCCAATGTTCACAACTTCCAAAATATCATTCCACAATTCACCATTTCCATCAAGCTCTCGTGTTTCGACCCTTCCAACCTCTCTGTCATTAACAGAGAAGGTTATGAGATCCTTCAAGCCGTCATTGGAGTATCTCAGTTTGTCAAGCCTAAATGTTTTCTCTTTAGTCAAGCACATGTCATATGTCAACGATTCGGTATTGTATAGAACAACGGTTTTCTTATTTGAAGCATCAGCTCGATTGCGTAGACGGCAGTTTGTGAGTGTAAGTTTGTCAAACTCTACAGTGACTTCGTGGGTCAAGCACGTCCCCATGAACGACAGAGAGAGCAACACTGCAAACAACGTGTACATCATGGCGGCTCTCTGGTCTAGGCAGTGAGCTGAAAACTCTCCCTTTGTGTCTGTGGTATTGGTGTCAAATGATCGCTATGCAGGCGCATGTCTAAGCTTAAAAACAGGAAACGGCAATATAACTCCCCATTACGATAAGACATAGATGGAATATTTACTCGAGTAGGTTAAGTAAAGATCCTGATTAGCAGGATATGATGTGAAATTCCTTACATGCCGTGAATGTTTCTATTGAAATTTAACATCATTGTACATCTCTTAAGCCACATGTGGGTTCCATGATGCTCGTGTATATCAATAACATGGGCCTCTGGCCCTGACTCAATAATGTGCCCATTGACGTCATACAACTGAAATATTGCCCGGATATACAAACCTATCAGCTTTCTTCCAACACTTCTATATACATCTAAGGCGATGCAATGGCAGGAACCCTTAGATATGGCAGGAACTTATGGTTTTGAGCTCGAATAGCAGTTCGACCCGATTATGTGTCAAGGTTTCTCAGCAATGTATCCATACTCCTTAGTGACATCGGCATGGCAAAACCTTCATAAGTATTAATCTCTCAAACGAAACGTTACTTTCGTAGTTGACTCGACAGAGGCAGATATTTCCTACTGAGCTTATAATGAAACTCGTGTAGTCCAGTCCACCAGCAGACACAGATCAAGAAAACATAAAATGCTAGACAAAGAATACTCGGCCATTACTATCCTCAGAGACAGATTTCTGTTGTTTCGTGTTGCCTGGGTCCTCTTAGTCTGTCATATAGACCCGAAATAAATATATGCAAGAGAGCCCATGCAAGTCTAGATAACCACGGTTTCGGGCTCAAAATGAAGAAAGTCTCTGGGATCCTTTTTATTAATAGTTTATGATTTTATTAACTGTTGGGTTTTTTCACATTCAGAGAATAGATTTTAGTCTATGGTGCTCTGTGTTTCTTCTGTTAGTCTGAAAGTATCGGGGAGTAAAAGACTACTTCATTAGGATTCGTCACCAGAAAATGTGTGTTTTATTTGTTAGCTTAAAGGGGCCATTGAGTAAAATACTTCTCTGTGTGAGATTGTGTGTTGCAATGGATCTCTGTGTATCTTCTGTTAGTCTGAAAGTATTAGGGAGTCAAACACTTCTCCATGCAGGTTTGTGTTAGCACAAACGTCTTTTCTCAAAAACACGAGAAGAATATAGGATAGAACACACAGACAGTACACAAACACAAAACTGTGGCCACAATGTACACACAGACAGTATACAGATATCAGACCGCGGAGACATTGTACACACAGACAGTATACAAACACCAGACTTTGGAGACAATGTACACACAGACAGTATACAAACACCAGACCGTGGAGACAATGTACACACAGACAGTATACAAACACCAGACCGTGGAGACATTGTACACACAGACAGTATACAAACACCAGACCGTGGAGACAATGTACACACAGACAGTATACAAACACCAGACCGTGGAGACAATGTACACACAGACAGTATACAAACACCAGACCGTGGAGACATTGTACACACAGACAGTATACAAACACCAGACCGTGGAGACATTGTACACACAGACAGTATACAAACACCAGACCGTGGAGACAATGTACACACAGACAGTATACAAACACCAGACCGTGGAGACAATGTACACACAGACAGTATACAAACACCAGACCGTGGAGACAATGTACACACAGACAGTATACAAACACCAGACCTTGGAGACAATGTACACACAGACAGTATACAAACACCAGACCTTGGAGACATTGTACACACAGACAGTATACAAACACCAGACCGTGGAGACATTGTACACACAGACAGTATACAAACACCAGACCGTGGAGACAATGTACACACAGACAGTATACAAACACCAGACCGTAGAGACAATGTACACAGACAATACAAACACCAGATACAAACACCAGACCGTGGAGACAATGTACACACAGACAGTATACAAACACCAGACCGTGGAGACAATGTACACACAGACAGTATACAAACACCAGACAGTGGAGACAGTGTACACACAGACAGTATACAAACACCAGACCGTGGAGACATTGTACACACAGACAGTATACAAACACCAGACCGTGGAGACAATGTACACACAGACAGTATACAAACACCAGACCGTGGAGACAATGTACACACAGACAGTATACAAACACCAGACCGTGGAGACATTGTACACACAGACAGTATACAAACACCAGACCTTGGAGACAATGTACACACAGACAGTATACAAACACCAGACCGTGGAGACATTGTATACACAGACAGTATACAAACACCAGACCGTGGAGACATTGTATACACAGACAGTATACAAACACCAGACCGTGGAGACATTGTACACACAGACAGTATACAAACACCAGACCGTGGAGACATTGTACACACAGACAGTATACAAACACCAGACCGTGGAGACAATGTACACAAAGACAGTATAGAAATACCAGACCTTGGATACAATGTACACACAAACAGTTTACAAACACCAGACCTTGGAGACATTGTACACACAGACAGTATACAAACACCAGATTGTGAAGACCATGTACACACAGACAGTATACAAACACCAGACAGTGGAGACAGTGTACACACAGACAGTATACAAACACCAGACCGTGGAGACATTGTATACACAGACAGTATACAAACACCAGACCTTGGAGGCAATGTACACTCAGACAGTATCCAAACTCAAAACTGTGGCCACAATGTATACACAGACAGTATACAAACACCAGACCTTGGAGACATTGTACACACAGACAGTATACAAACACCAGACCGTGGAGACAATGTACACACAGACAGTATACAAACACCAGACCGTGGAGACATTGTACACACAGACAGTATACAAACACCAGACCGTGGAGACAATATACGGATGTTGACATATCCCAACACCGTGGACCGTTGAACACAGACAGGGACAAACACCAGACCGTGGAGACAATGTACACACAGACCATTATACAAACACCAGACCGTGGAGACATTGTATACACAGACAGTATACAAAACCACAGATTGGAGACATGTATACACAGACAGTATACAAACACCAGACCGTGGAGACATTGTATACACAGACAGTATACAAACACCAGACAGATTGAACTGGAGACAATGTACACACAGACAGTATACAAACACCAGATTCTGGATGTCCTTGTGCATTTGCCACGATAGCACGATTGTGACTGATAGAATTCCATTACCCTTATATGTAACCACTTAACCAATTGAGCATTAATGTGAGACATTGTGAATATTGTTCTGAAGTACAAGTTATGACTGACAAACACCAGACCATGTGGAGACAATTGTATGACACACAGACAGTATACAAACACCAGACCTTGTTGTGGAGACAATGTACACACAGACACAGACAGCATACAAACACCAGACCGTGGAGACAATGTACACACAGACAGTATACAAACACCCAGATGTACACACAGACAGTATACAAACACCAGACCGTGGAGACAATGTACACACAGACAGTATACAAACACCAGACCTTGGAGACAATGTACACACAGACAGTATACAAACACCAGACCTTGGAGACAATGTACACACAGACAGTATACAAACACCAGACCGTGGAGACAATGTACACACAGACAGTATACAAACACACCAGACCGTGGAGACATTGTACACACAGACAGCATACAAACACCAGACCGTGGAGACATTGTACACACAGACAGTATACAAACACCAGACCGTGGAGACATTGTACACACAGACAGTATACAAACACCAGACCGTGGAGACATTGTACACACAGACATTATACAAACACCAGACCGTGGAGACAATGTACACACAGACAGTATACAAACACCAGACCGTGGAGACAATGTACACACAGACAGTATACAAACACTAGACCGTGGAGACATTGTACACACAGACAGTATACAAACACCAGACCGTGGAGACATTGTTGTACACCAACATTGTACAGACAGCATACAAACACTAGACCGTGGAGACATTGTACACACAGACAGTATACAAACACCAGACCGTGGAGACAATGTACACACACACAGTATACAAACACCAGACCGTGGAGACAATGTACACACAGACAGTATACAAACACCAGACCTTGGAGACAATGTACACACAGACAGTATACAAACACCAGACCTTGGAGTCAATGTACACACACAGACAGTATACAAACACCAGACCGTGGAGACAATGTACACACACACAAACAATGTACACACACCAGACCGTGGAGTCAATGTACACACACACACAGTATACATACAACAGACCGTGGAGACAATGTACACAAATACGGGATAACGATATGTGTTCGTAATATTTATAGTAATAAATCATCCATTGTTGCTGTTGTCATATATATGTACAGTAGCCGCCTGTACCTTTCAAGAACCAAGACTAACCTGAACAGAACGTTAAGTGGTCGGTGTGCGAAAGAAGTCGCGTTGACCGTCTGGTGGGCGTGCGTGGGTGGAGAGATAGACCGCATGAATATCTCTGAAACCAAGTCAGATATAATCATATCTTTAAAACTATAATTTATCTATAAACAATGCAAACCAGCTGTTTCTGAATATTATGTCACGTATATATTTTTTCTGTTGTTAGTCTGGAAACGTCACTGAGTGTACTTCCTTAAGCACAAATTATAATGATGTTATAATGTACACATACGCATTTGCTATTGAAATACTGCTCACGGATGAAATAATGTACACATACGCATTTGCTATTGAAATACTGCACACTTTGCTATTGAAATACTGCACACGGATGAAATAATGCACGCATACGCATTTGCTATTGAAATACTGCACACGGATGAAATAATGCACGCATACGCATTTGCTATTGAAATACTGCACACGGATGAAATAATGTACACATACGTATTTGTTATTGAAATACTGCTCACGGGTGAAATAATGTACACATACGTATTTGCTATTGAAATACTGCACACGGATGA